GAAAGGATGGATAGGGCCTTGGTGAGCATCTCTGCCAGCTCCCTCAGTGCCTTTGGGTGGATGCCAGTCAGCCCCGTAGACTTGTGTGTGTCTAAATGCTGTAGCAGGTCCCTCACCATTTTCCCTTAGATTTTAAGCTCCTGAAGCATTGTTGAAACCTCAAGTTGCACCAGGGGAGGTTCAGATTGGACATCAGGAAAAACTTCACAGTGAAAGGGTTATTAATAATTCAAATGGGCTGCCCAGGGAAGTGGTTGAGGCACCATCCCTGGAGGTATTCAAAAGACAGGTTGACATAGTGCTTACTGACATGGTTTAGCGATGCTTTTTCATCAGATTTAGGCTGGTGGTTGGACTACATGATCTTAAAGGTCCCTTCCAACCTAGACTATTCCATGATTATGGTGGCTACATTCTGCTCCCCATCCCTGTCTTCCAGCTCAGGGGGCTGGGTACCCAGAGAAAAACCCATCCTACTATTAAAGATGAGACAAAGAAGGAATTAAGCACATCAGACTTTTCCTCATCCTTTGAGGCCATGTTTCCCACCGCATCTAATAAAGAATGAAGATTCTCCTTAGCCCTCTTTTTGTTTCTAAGGCATTTATGGAAACATGTTTATTGTCTTTTATGGGTGTAGCCAGATTAAGTTCTAGTTGGCCTTTGGCCCTTCTAATTTTCTCCCTGAATAACCTCACAACATCCTTGTAGATCTTCTGAGTTGCTTGCTTCAAAAAGCCATAAACTCCTTTTTTTCCCCTTAGTTCCCTCCAGAGCTCTCTGTTCAGCTAGGGCGGTCGTCTTCCCCTGTGGCTGGTCTTTCCACACATGCAGAGGGCCAGCTCATGCAGCTCCAGGAGTTCTATCTTGAAGAACTCCCAGGTGTCCTGGACTCCCAGTCCCACTTCGTGTCTCTCCCAGAAGGTCTGGCTGTGTGAGAACACTGCTGTATGCACCCACCCTTCACACTCCCACAGCTGAGCTCTGCACTGGCGTTTTCCTCTCCTGAGCACTTTCCAGCTCAGCCCAGGCCCTCCCGGGCTCTCCCCACCTCCCTGCCATCTCCCCATCCCAGCAGAGTCCCCCAGTCTGGCCTGACCCCCAACAGTGCCTGTCGCAAGGTGCTGCAGAGCTTCGGGCACTCACCCCACAGCAGCCCTTGGGGGCAGAGAGAGGGATGTCAGAGGAAGGATGAAACAGAGGCCTGCAGAGAAGGAGGTGCAGGTGTGGGACACGGTAGGACAGCCTATGGTGGAACTGACAGAGGGATGAAAGGTCTGAAAAGCACCAACAGAGATGAGGTCTGTCTCCCCTTGGCTCTGGCTGCTGCCTCTGCCACTGATGCCTATGAGGAAGCACCTTATCCCTACAGCGCCAGGGTCTCATTGCCTCCCCTTCCCCACCCGAGAGCCTGGGAGGTATCGGACCATGGTCCTGCCCTTGACATTGCACATCCCCACATCACACAGCCCCAGGAAGAGGCCTGAGCAACGTGGGAGGGACAGGATCTCCCTTCCCGGGGGCTGGGGGTCACGGCTTGGCCCTTTGGCTGAATGCAACACATCCAGGTTTCCTCAGATCTGTTCCACCTTTACACTCCCTTGGTCTACCTGTCATCTCTGCCTCCAGGTTTCTGCTCTAAGCAGCCACTGGGGAGCCTTTGTCGGTAATGGTCCTCAGTGGGACCCATCAACCCTCCAGGAAACTTTGGAGTTTGAATCTGACTGGAACTTCTAGAGACATTTCTTCAACTTCATCTCAGGCTCTGAGGTTCATGGACTCCACCCCAAACCCACCAGAGGGGTCATTAAA